ACGTTTTTAGCATCATAATCATTTGAGTTGTACTACAAGAATGACGAAGAGCAAAATCAGAAAAGAAGCGAGTAGTACTAAAATCATCAAAAGATCGGGAAGTACATTTAAAAAACCTTCTATCTTATCCTGGTTTGCGAAATCCTATCAGTGAATATATTTCTAATATTCAATATTAAGTTTGAAGGTCGTACTTGCAAAGAGGTTCATGTCTTCCACACAATCATGAATTTCTTTAAAAAAAAAAATTAGGCCCCCTCTATAAGAAGTTTCTCGCTCTGCCATTGAACCTGAGTTAAAAGAAAAGTTAGGAGATATGTTGGTAGGTAATGAGTTTGACTAGATTGCCCACCTCTTTTATGCTTTTTGGTCGACTGAAAAAGGGTTAAAATGGGGCGTGATATATAGTGGTAGCAAAGTAAGGTTTGAGTTGCAGATTACAACAAAAGCATAAGTGGATTTAGAAGTGAAGCTATGAATGTGATTAAATTTGGATATGATTAATACAAAGCTATATGTTAGTTAATCATATTGAGGTGGATGATTTAGCTGAGTGTTAAAAGTGGCCTATGCCTAACAAGATCATCCTATAATAATTTGTAAAAAAAATTTATATATTTATAGATAAACATGCTTGAAGCAATATTAAGAAATAATGAATTGTCAGTTGTAATGGCTAGTCACGAAAACATAAATGCTTGTTGAGTATAATACAAATAGAAGTGTAGTTCCGAATAAAACAAATAAGATCAGATCCAAAGAGTTACATGAGATTGTGAATCTGATTTCACTCGTGGTCGCCAAAATGATCTCTATTAAAAAATCTTCTACAAGCAGTGGAGCAAGATTTGAGTTTAGCATTGAAACATACTAGCATTTGGGTGCAAGTGATTTTACTGTTGCTGAAGATTGGTTGTTAAAAATTGGAAATTTATTGAATAATATGATTTTCCTTTGTAATAGAAGGGTATGCTTGCAACCTTTGAATTAGAAGGAGAAACCGAGAGATGGTGGCAAGCACAACACTGAGAAATTTGAGATTTTGTTCCAACCCTATCACCTTCGTGGATGACGCCTCCATCGATTTTGTTAGTCGACTATTTCCACTTCTCTCATTGATTATACTTCATTCAGAATCACTCATTTTAGGTCCTTTTTTTACCTTCAACTTTATCAACTCGATCTTATAGTCGTTTGAGCTCCATATCTCCATTCCCAACTTGATCCTCACTACCCCACTCATCAGCTGCCACTCAAGTTTTGACACGATTTTAGAGCATCTTTGTTTATCTATACTCATATTGCTTGTACTCATCATCAATCATTTGTTGAAGCTATTTGGGGGATGAAGGTTTTAGGATTTCATTGCTTACCGTCTAGCCATTTCCCTTTTATTTTTTCAGTAAGGATTGGACCTACCTCAACACAAGCATCTCTTCATTTTTCATGGAAATCATGTTCTTATTAGTATTCAAGATGAACTTTTTTAGCTAGCAATTTCTTTTTTGCTGTTATTAAAAACTTTATTTTTTGCCATTCCAATTTATGTAAGACTTCATGATTTGTAACTTCGATATTAGGTTTTTGGATCTCTGTCATATTCTTATTCTATTATTTTTATAATTATATTACTCTAGGATTTTCTCAAGTCGATCCTATTATGTGAGTGGCTATCTGATGTGTATGTTAGAGTGATCTACTGACATTGGCTCATTCTTTTAACTACCTATCACTCTGGTTTGGATTGACTTTCCTTGACTTCATATACTATAACTAATATCTCTTATATTTTTTGGGGTTTTTTAGTAAGCCCTTGCAATTTTGATCTTGCTACTCGACTTTTTAGATTATTTGTGGCTATTGTTATGGTCTAAATGAGCTTTACTATCTATTTAATAAGGAGGTTTGGATTAGTTTTTCCTCTTATGGTTAATAGTACAAGTTTGAATTTGAAGGCATATCTTTGTATTATTTTTCTTTTAAAATTTTTTAACACTAATTAGAATATTTCAAAGCTCATCTTGATTTGAGGAAATCATCTATTATTGATCCTTACACTTAGAAACAAAAGGAGCATACAAATGATTAGAATCTACTTTCAAACCTGGTGGTCATGGTACTAACTATTTTAGATTAGGCATGCACATAAAATTAGTATTAACTTTAGTTCTTATCATGGAATCAAAGTCTTCCCTTATTATCCTAAGATCCAAGGATGTGATCAACTCCTAATCTGCATGCAGGAACATTGATCCACATCCTCCGAATGTATTAGCCCCTCATGATCATTCTATCTTTGAGGATGTTGATGACCCATATTCTAAGTAGTTTTATGATTTTGATGTTGTTATTTTAAATATGAGAACTTAAGTGGATTGGAGATTTCAAATCATATTCATGGAGAGAGACAAGAATAGAAAAAATTATTGCCATTCTTCAAGGTTCACTACGCCACAAGCAAAGTGCATGAAATAAAAGTTTTGAGAGTGTCCTTATCCAATATACGTGGATGCTTTCTCTTATGTCATCATGTTATTTTTAGTTGCGCTTTTTTATTTTTTATTTTATCTTCTGACAATTTTGTAATTGCTTCACGTTGCACTCATTTTATTAACTGATTATGAAAATTTTCTTTGAAAAAAACATTGGCATTCTATTACATTGTGTTTATAAGTTCACCAATAAAAAGATTCATAGGATTTTTTTCTTTTGGCTAGAGCACAGAGTGGAGAGGAGGTCATTGAGTTGAGTTGGAGGGTCATGAAGTGAACATAATTAGGATTTTGATGGCTGCGTTTGGGATTCTATTATGTGAACTTGTTTCAAACTTTTGGATCTTAATCAAATGGTATGAATGATTTCATATTAATTAAAATATTTTTAGTTTGTATGAATCAACTTGTGTCAATGCTGATTAGGTTTAAGTGTGACAAATGCAAGTTGTTCCAACAGTGGTGTGTGCATGGTACTTGCTTTCAAAGCCCGACATGCTGGAAGGTGGATATGTGTTTCATATTGTGTGGTATTTATATTTTATTTGGTTTAATTATTTAAATGTATTTTTTTCTAAGCTTTCTTCGGTTGTGGAGAAATTATTTTCAATGATACTCTACTCCAACCTATCTTTAGTTCAAACCAATTCAGTCGCTGATCTCACTTTGTTGTTGTTAAGATTTGATTTTTAACTTCTGGTGGATATCCAGTTGAACCATTTCTCGGTGCAGTTGTTGGCTTTGTTTCTTGATTTGAAAATTTTAATTTGGATCAGTTTATCCAATAAATAAGAAGGGATTTCACTTTTTCAGATCCTAATTGGCATTTTGCTTTATTTAATGTTTCTTCTTCAACAAATTGTTATTTTTATTGATTTTATTAATAATTTAAGGTTAGTTTGTAAGGTAATGAGACGGGGAATTTACATATGCTGAATCAACTTGGGGTTTCTTATGACACGACTGTTAAGATATGCTGCCTAATGCTTGAAAGCTCCTGATTCAGAAACTGGATTTTTTTTTTCTGTAGGAATTTACACCATGCAAAAGTTTGAGAGGTCTGATTCACGTTTTCTATCAAGTTTTCATGGTTGCATGACATGTTTACTATGATGCACAGACACGGATACGGCGACACGGACATGTTACACGTCAATTATTGAAAATATAGAACACGGACATGGGTTGAACACTATATTATAATTTTTATATTTTAAAAATCGTGTATAAAAATTGAGTAAGTATAATTTTAAAAATTATTTTAGAAATAATAAGTCATTTAAGTAGAATTTGTGCTTAAAATGATTAATATTAGGATGTCGAGAGTCGAGAGTCGATGCCGTTTATTAGTCATCGAGAGAATGCTGTTGAGAGTCGGGCATTGATTTTATGTAGTAAATATTGGGCATCAATGTTAAGAGGGCGTTTATCGTCGATGTTGTGAGGCCATTGGTCGTCGGTGTTGAGAATGCGTTGAACAAAGATGAGATGTCAAGTTGTGGGTGTAGAAATTGCCAGCATCGAGCATCAATGTAAAGACAGCGTCAGACTTTGATATGGAGATCATTTTGAAATGTTGATGTTGTAACGACGTTAATCGTCGATGTTGAGATGACATCGAGCATTGCTATAAAATCAAAGTTGTAACCCACCAAAGAGAAACGAAAATGAGAATATTTGATGAATGGGGTATTTAAGTACGGGCGATTGATTTGGTGTTGTGGATAAAATATGCAAGATACGCATGTCAGACACGTGTGTCCAATTTGTATTTAATATTTTTTTTAATTGGAAACGTTTGCAGTGTGTCCGATACGTGTCAGAGTAGTGTCGGATACGTGTCGGACACTGCACGCCTCTTTGAGGAGAAGTGTCAGTGCATCATAGCATATTCATTTCTCCATATTTACTGGAGATGAGCTAAATTCTTGAAGTTTTCCTTAAAAGAACTGGATATAATACAATGAAATCTCTTGAAAACTTGGCATTCATTGCTACTCTTTTTTTGTGTTAAAGTGACCACAGTTTCTTGTAGATTTTATTTGATCATCTTATTTTGGTACTTTCCAATTGTTGCCTTTATGGTTGCAACCTTTACAATTTTTATACATGGAAGTGATTTTATTTTATGATTAATTACTTCTATGCATCAGTTGGTTTATAGGACGATTTTATTAAATTACGGCATGAGCATCAGGCTCCAATGAACTTAGTTTGGAACTTTGGATGCAAGTTGTGCTACTTCAGTACCTACTCAATCTGATATGCAATGTATTGTTTATTATATTGTATCATAATCATGCAGAAACTATACTGACCTACTTTTACATAATTGCCAACATGTCAAAGCAATAACCAAAGCCCCTCTTCTGTTTTGCCGCAATGCAGCATAACGTGAGAAAGATTAGCATATGCAGGATAAATCGCAGTTTTATATATTGCTAGGTCTTTTTACATGTATAACTTTTTTCCATTAATATTATTTTTTTTTTCCTTGTAATTCTGCAGATACAACTCTACCGTATCACTGAACACTACCTGAGAAGAGCAAATCTACCTGTTATTCGAAGAATTGCTGAGACAGAGTTGGCTGTTGCTGATGCAGTTAATGTTGAAAAGGATATTTTTGAAAGGTCAAACAGCAAGTTAGTTTATGTAAACCTTTGCTCACTGGTTGTATCTCAACTTGTTAACAAGCCAGTATCACCTGAGGAAAACGCCTCCAATTCCCCAAAGGACACTTTAATGATTTCTAACGAGGTCGCTGAAGGCACAAAGTCTGATACTGAAACTGATAACAACCCAGAATCAGCTGAGAGAAATGTCTCCAATTCAACATTGCCTGCTTCAGAGGTTTCGAATGAGGCTTTAGGAGAGAGAAGTTTTAGCCCTAAAGTTGGTGGATGGAGCAATGTGGAAGAGGCATTGAAATTGGCTGGCCTATTTTCTGATTCTCCTCCTAGCAGTCCCTATTGTGCTACAAATATTTCCAATGAAGATGAATCTACTCAAGAAAATGTCAATGATGGCATTAATTATGATTCTCAGAGTAATATTCTACATTCCATGGATATAGAGCGAGATGTTTCCATGACTCAAAACTCTGGAAAAGCAGTAGCGGCGTATGATTGCATCAATGTGGAAGTAAAGCTACCATTTGATTTTTCAAAGTCATTAGAAGAACAGAAAGAAAGCGAACCAGATAACTCACAAGCAGATCACCGGATGGAAAATGTCCTTCCACGAAATATGCCTGAGAGTGGACTATTTGATGAACCTTCTTTAGAAGAATGTGAGGGGGACAACGAGGACCATCCTATGGGCCAGATATCTGACGAGGCTGTAGAAGTGTTGAATAAACCCCTGGTAATAGGCGAGGAACCAAACCCAATTTCTGGTTTAAAGGAGAATTGTATATTAAACGATGCAGCTAGAGTTTCTGTGACGGACACCGAGAACTGCACTAGTGGCCCAGATGGTGGCTCGGCTCATGTTGATGAAACATTAGCTGGGGTAGCGAACTTGGAAACTCATTCAAGAGAGAATGTACAAAATAATCCAGACATTTGTGATACTATTCCAAGTGAGGAAATAGCCAAATTGACCAATGACAAATCTGATCTCACTATATCCATCTCTAAAAAGGTATGACATGTCCTTGCTGTTATCAACTAAAAGAATGGCATGACTATCATTATTATTAGAGTAATCATAATCATATTAAAAGAGAGGGCCTAAGGAAATGGTTTATTAGATTAGCTCCACTGTTTTATTGAGGATAGGTTCACTTCACATGACCAGCTTTTTTGCAATGCAATTGTAAAGTTTAATACATCATGTTCTACCCTGTATTTATTTTTCTAGCTATCATATCATCTTCTCATCTTAAACCCAAATCATCTCAAGGAGGTTTGATTTACATAGCTTAACTGTAGATTTGAATACTGTACATTTTTTTTATATAAGTTTATTTCTTGTAGCTTAGCTGACACATGCGAAGTTTTTTTTTTTGGCCTCTTTCTTAATGTAGATGTTCTCATAATGTATAACAAATTGCTGCGCTTGTTTATGTGGGACATTTTATTACCTGTATTCTTAATGATGCTCTTAAACTTTTTTCTCTCCCAAAGTATATCATCCTCATATTCACAAAGGGGAATGTTTGATCTATTTGTGCGAACAATAACAAAGTGAAATTGTTTACAATGCATCATAGCTTTTATATTTATCACTTTGCATCCCGAGGGCCCTGCTTTATTGTTGCCAAATTAAGAACTGTTTTGATACTAACATGGTGTAGTGCAACTTTGGTCTTGTTGAACCGTCGTTTAAAATGTCTATCACCTAGAAATTGAAAAGTTAGGAGAAATTATTTCTTAATTGGCATCCCTCTATCATATCAAAGAAAATAATGAACTAGTTGGCTTTATATGTAGGTGGAAGCCTATATTAAAGAACACATCAGACCACTATGCAAGAGTGGTGTGATCACCGTTGAGCAGTACCGATGGGCGGTTGGGAAAACCTTAGATAAAGTGATGAAATTTCATCGCAAGGCCAAGAATGCAAACTTCCTTATTCGAGAAGGGGAGAAGGTTAAGAAACTTGCTGAACAATATGTTGAGGCTGCACAGCAGAGAGAATTGAGATAGATAAAATATCTTCTTGACTTGCACTTTTGCCACTTTTTTGAGAAGACTTCCTTTTGACAACCACGGTTATCCTGGATCCACCCTGGCAATTGCACCTCTGCCTTTATCAGACTTTCATTGTCTAGCTTCTCGCAAATTCTCCATATTTGTCGAGCTAGAACTATACAGCTCGGAAGTGCTGCGACATCCAACCTGGTTGTAAGCATATTTCCTTTGGTTTTCTCACTTTCTAGGAGACTTGGAATGCTTCAATTATATATATTAAGAGTTACTAGTGAAGATCCTCCTATGATTGCACCATTGTTATTGTCCTTGGCCCTCCACTAATTGCTAAAATGCACATATCTCTATCAACCCATTCGATTTCAATCATTTTCATTATGACGGAACTACACCTATTGCATGATCAAAACCAACTTCTACTAGGCCATGCAAAGGGGGAGAAATTATTAGGTGCGGAGACCGGACGTAGAGATATGTCCAGACATCCACTTAAAATTTGACATATGGAGTGCATTTTGGTTGCGCTTTACCTGTATTTTAGTTGCGCAGTTGCGCTTTGACTGCACTTTTGTTGCGTTTTTTTACTGCGCTTTTCTTTTGTTGCGTTTTTTTATTGCGCTTTGACTGTGCTTTACCTACGCTTTACATTCGCTTTAGTTACACTTTAGTTGCGCTTTGACTGCTCTTTTGTTGCGCTTTTTTACTACGGTTTTATTACGCTTTGGCTGCGTTTTGGCAGTGCTTTGGCTGCACTTGGCTTAAAATTCTGCATACACATTAAATATATAAAGTAAAAAATAAATACAGTGTGTCCATTCGACATGTCAAATTTTAAGTGGATGGCCGGACGTATTTCTACTTCCGGTGTCCGCACCTAATAATTTTCTGCAAAGGGGTGGTGCAATGTTGCTTGTGCAATTCCTGCGAAGCAGAGATGGAAAATTTTGATATAAGCTATTGTTCTCGGCGATGCTATACATACTGGTGACAAAGATATCATGAATCATTTGCAGTATACCAATTTTGGTAAAACAGCTCCTAAGTGCAATCTGAGTTTGCGTCTGTAGGTACCATGATTTCACAAACTATCCCACGTCTTTATGCTTAACTGATTTTTACATAAATTTAGTTCCTTCAATCTAGATACAGGTGATTATTTGCTGCATAGTTCTCAAAATTGAGAGGTTTCTGAGATTTTTGAGCAGAGAAAGATCCCTGTTGCTGCATCTGATGAAAGCTGGAGAGTTAAAAGAGGAAACCTGCTTTAGCTGTGTCAATGTTTGTGGAAGGAGTGTGGGATCAAGAGCCTTCAATATTGGATATAAAATTGAATTATCGACTTCAATTTTCTATTTTGATGCCTGTACAAGGTAATTTTTTTGGTAAGTGCCATAATGACTTTTAAAGCCCCATTTTTGTAATATTTTACCTTTTACTATTTTAAAGCTTTTTTTTTTCCTCTTTCCATCAGCAATTTACTATGGATATGAAATGGAAATCAGAACTTTATTTTATTTTATTTTTTTATTTTTTTGGTGGAAGAAGAAGATAGTTTTGGTTGATGTGGTTCTTATGCATTTTCCTTGTAAAGATTTTCATTGTTAGTTTCAATTAGATGTTAAAAATTGTGCAAGTTGAGATTTTTTAATTGAATTATAAGCATGAATGTTCAATTTCCACGCCAAGATAGAAAGGATCGATTTATTTTTTTTTCATCCATATTATTATTTTTTAAAATATTTCTTTTTGTTTAGAAAAGCGATTAGGAAGTCAGCATAAGTTTCTATGAAGCTAAATAATTTATTATTATTATTATTATTATTATTATTATTATTATTATATGATACTAAACTTTAGTGAGCCATCCAGACTTTAAAATAATAATTATAATACGTTGTTATGAAGTCCACATTCCACAGGTAATATCCATAATTATTTTTCATGATCCAATATTCAACTATGCTTACAACATTGATATATGCTTCATTTGACATCTTTATTTTCCAAAAAGGATTAGGCTACTCTAATGTGCATTTCTTCTCAAAAAATTTCATCATAAAAGTCCAAAATTTAGAAAATGATAAATTTAAATAAATTAAAATTTAATTAATAAAAAAACTTATTTTATTTTGCAAAAAAAAAATAAAAAATAATCAAAATAAAAAATGATATAATTTAAATAAATTAAAATTAAAATTAAACAAAAAATTCTTATATTTTTAAAAGCTAAATAAAGTTAAATTAAATTCTTTTTAGATTTCTTTTTATACTGATCCAATCACTAATTTAAAGATTAAACTAACTTCTTTATAAGAATTGCTCATAATTCTAATTTCATTTTATAACCAATCAAATATTAAAATTTAAACTATTAAATTCTTTACAAGCAACAAAATACCACAAAATATTTTATATACATAATTTTATTTTACATCAAATTTTTAAATACATGCAATCAAAATCAAAGAGCCCCTTCTAACAAAATATAAAGCACCAATCATCTGAAACTCATTTGTACCATTCCACTTTCCACAACAATCCATATAGCCACAGCATTTATCACCAAACTTTCCATCCATAATTAAAGGGATACATCTGCTAGAGTTTCAACCTGAAAGCAGAATAATATAAAAAAAAATAGGGAAAAAAAAACAAAAAAAAAAAATTGAAAAAAGATTACCACACAGACAAAACACACAATAGGATTGTTTCAGCTGCAGAGATTGGGTATACAGACACCAGATTCTGAGCTCTGTTGCTCCTTCCATATCCGCCCGGTGACTCTCAGCTTCAGTTCTTTCCTGTCGCTGCCGGAGAAGAAGAGCGCCATGTTCCTCTGTATTATGAGGCCGTCGTGACTCTCCCGCACCTTGCGATGGCCGTCGCGGATGCTTCGGGGTATACCTTCCCATATGAGTTTCCTCCCATTGGCCCCAACCTCAAGGCTGTAGCAATAATTCCTGGCATCCGTCTCATCACCCATAAACCTCAAGAAAGCCATGTACACAGGAGCCATACCCAGCTGGAATGCCTCAAAGTGCAAGCAGAAGTATTGCCCAAAGCAATGGAAGACCTGGAAGCACAAGTATCAAACACTGGGTTACTCTTGCAAGAAATCATATTACGTAGGGTCGGGTCGGCCGCATGAATTATTTTTCTCCATTGTATTCTATAAGGAGTCGGATTCTCCGTTACATCTAATAAAAAAAGATCGTTTATAATACTTTCTAATCAAGAGATCACAACTTCATAGGAAAAAGATTAGATAAAGAATATTAAACTTTTTATCAAGATGAAATTAAGTATATTAGATTTACTTTCAGAGAGATACAACACGAATTTTAATTGATTAATTATAAATTACATTCATCTCAAAAAAAAAATTCTAAATAGTCTATTATCATATCTCTATTATTACATTCAAGCATTGAGTTTAATCAAAAGCATTGAGTGGAGAGAATACATTCTAAATAGTCTATTATCATATCTCTATTCAGTACTCTTGCACCTACTCATTTTAAATTAAAAACTTGCCCGCCTGCATGTGGTAAACTAATTTGTCTTAAATACCAAAAAATACAGTATAAGACAAGGAAAAAAAAAGGTTCAAATTACTTACTGTCAACATCCAAGTGGCATTCTCAACTTCCCGGGGATTTGATTTAACATATCTGTGGTTGAAGGTGCACCCAGTGTGCATGTCTACTTTGTGGTCATCCCTTAGGTGGGTCACCAAGAAAGGAATGTCTCCTGTAACAGAGCATTCTGAGCCGGCATATGGGCAATTGTAAGGTCTGAAGTTGCACTGACTTTCATGTAAGTGCTTGCTGAAATAGGGAAAAATTCCTGGGCAGCCCAGAGAGGAATGCTTGCATGGAAGCTCGAGAGATTCGGCCACCTTTTCTAATGCTAGACACCTAATGTCTCCGAGTTCTTGTCGACAAGTTGGGCAGCGGTTCTGGACCTTTGTTTTGCAGGATGAACACAAAGTGTGGCCATTGTGGCACTGCAAAATTTCAAATGCTTGTCATACATTCCGGCATGTTCAATTTCTTCGTTCTAAAATATTACTCTTGATTTCTCCAATGAACTAAAAATCAAATAAGAGAAGGATAGTATTCAATATTTATGATTTAGAATATCTTTAGCTTTGACATCACAACATATATGAACTTAAACATAAAAAAAAAAGTATATATATATATATATATGAACTTAAACATAGCGACAGAGATAATGCAATTAGAAAACATGGAAGCTAGAAGGGTTGCTAAAAGGTTGACTTCATCCTACAAAATAAAATAGGTGAACAAAGCTAAAGAATACATAGGAATTATTGATCATAAAGGAATTAAGTCTAATGAAGATAAGGTGGCATGTTTTAAGTGCTACGTTGACCCTAATACTACATGGTAAATAATAGCAAACTAGACTTCTATACACTATCGCATTTACCTCACCAGCATTAAAAAAAAAGACTTCTATACCAGATACCTCCAGCAAGAAAGTCGAGCAATTATTTCCCCAAAACGGTTTAGCTTATTAACCAAAATAGTAATATTCCGTTCTGAAATTTTCTGAGAGAATGTATGATGTAAAGAGAGGAACCAACATCTTGCTAGGAGAAAAGAAGAGAGAACACAAACTAATTCCTTAAATAGAGGGAGTCGGATTCATTAAAAAAAGCCCGCTAAAAATGGAAATTTCAAATACAACAAGAAATTGCAATAAAATATAAAGCTAATAGTGCTAGAAATAAAACATAACAAAATTTGGCTGTATAAATTCTCTGAACTTTGAGAAAACTCTTCCCTCAAAGAGCAATTGTTGGTTGAATTGGTTCATCCTTCCGGGCATTTTTGGAAACAAAGAAGACGCATAAAAAGATAAGTACTACAGGTAACAAATCATTACAAGGGAAAACAACTAAAACTTACTCTGATCAGGGATGCATGACAGGAACCCTTCGAAGCATATACATGTGGGCTCCAAAAATTTGAGCTTTTAGGGCCCCGGCCTCTCCACGTATATTCAAGGAGAATTTTAACGTATTATATTATGAGGGAAACTTTTGGAGGTAGATTGGTTAGAGATAAGACACTACTTAGAGATTTTGTCCTCATTAGAGAGAACTTTAAGATCCGAAATCTGATTTATTATAGGTGCAAGCCCCTATAGTTAATTATCCCTTCCGATAACGAGACAACACTTTTGATTAAAGCTAGTCGTTCGATAGGCACTTAGTACTTGACATATAGTAGAAATAAATTTAAATATTTAAATATTAAAAATAGAAATTTACCACCCTTTCACTTAAAGCAAATGGTAGGGGTGATGATGATGAACCTGATCAAGATTTCATTATTTTGTCGTCTCAGGTCATCATGGTTCCTAGTCTACTTAGTCAAAGGAAATAGTCGACCCAACCTGATCGAATAATTCTTGTCGGCAACCATGGGTTGCTTTATACAAGGATACCATATAGACTTGGTTGAATGTTTGTTTAAGGGACAAATTCAAGTCAACCTTAATTTATAGAGCTTTTTTATGTCCTATCGATTATACCCTATAATTCATTACTCAAGAGCATTAGCCATTGGGAAACATACGGGATTTAGTCGGGAACGTAATATAGTGGAGCCATAGGGCCTCAGTCACAATTATTTACCAAGTGAAGGAATTGGGCTAAGCCACAGGTTCTTCATAGAGCCGTTGGGCCAAGCTATCGATTAGAGGACCAATCATAACCATTTACCACGTAGAGCCATTCAATCAAATTATGTGTTTTGTAGAGCTGTTCAGCCAAGCTACCAGTTAGAGGAAAAATGTCATGTCTTTATTGGAAAAAAATTGTTTGAGAATGAATTTTAATAATATTCTCAGTTATATAATTTCTATTTATGAGCTAAAGTTATTCTTGAGTTCATCGCCACAGGTGACCCTACATAGTGGGATAAAGGTTTGATTTTGTTGTTGTTGTACTCCATCGTCAAACGATTATGAATGGTGAATGAGTTTAACTTTAAGTTGCGAGTGAAAATTTTCATTTTTAAATATTAGGATTTAAATTAAAAATTGAAAATTAGAGTATTAACTTAAGTTGTGAGTGAAAAAGTAGATTCCCCTCAAATTGAAATTAACTTTCAAGACAGCCATCATTTGGGATTGTGAATAATTTATATTTCAAGTTATTTGAAACTGGTCAACTCCATTGGCTCGTTAACAAAGGATCAGATTCGACGATCGATTATCATATGAACACTAAGAACCGAGAGCTTGTAGTTTTATGATGAGTTTCATTTAAAGAACCTTTGAAAGCATAATGTGAACTTAAAATTAAATATCACATTGGATTTGTGATTAGGCATTAATAAATCCAAGTTGTCTCGACTCTAATCCTTTCCAGAAGAAGGATAAGATTTGAATATTTAACCAGCAAAGCACTCTCAGGCCTTTAGGTTTAGGAATCGGATGTGATGGTCGAAGCACATGCGGGTAATTTGAATTCATGTGCAAGTTTTTTTTTAACACTTGCACAGTTCATATGTATGTTTTCAATGCAGTAGCTCGTATTTTGATGTGCTCATGCAATGTACTTGCTTATGTTTTGTTGTATTTACATAACATGTTTGTATACGTTCACTTTGCTTGCACACTTCTCAATACAACGCGCTTTATTTGAATGTTGCATGTTTTTCGAGACAATGTCTCGCTTCTCAAGGAGGTAGCACTCTTCCTGATGCTACTGCACATTTCTCAAGGCAACAACAAGCTCCTCAAGTCAACATGCTTAAGTATAAAAAATTGCATTTTAACATATCAGGATTTTAAAATATTAAAATTTAATTATTTGTGCAAGTGATAATGCGCAAAATTTTATTTTGAGATTCAAGAAACTCTTTATTTTCGCTTGTACGCCAGTATTGCGGATTTGTGTCATTTGTTGAAGGTGAACTGGGTTCCTTTAATTATAGATAGGAGGATATTTAGTTCATTTAACCCATTCTAAGTTTGTCATTTAGTATAGTTTATAGAGTTTGTCTATCCATCCAAAGTTAGAAGGTTCCATTACTGCTCATAGCAAAGCTATCACATTCTTTATAAGATCATTTTTCTTGCTTGTAGGAGAATTATCATGTCCACCACGAGTTCCCCTGTTCTCGCCCGTAGGCGGGCTAATTTGTTCGATATAAGCCCCTTATCCTCACCCGCAAGAAAGTTATTGTGTGCACTACGAATTCCCTGCTCCTGCCCATAGGAGAGTTGTCGTGTTTATTAAAGGTCCACTGATATTCCCTGTAGGCAAGTTGTTACAAGTCCCTTGTCATTGCCTATAGGAAAACTATTGTGCTCGTTACAGGTCTCCTATTCTCGCTCATGGTCGAGCTGTCACGCTTATTACAAGTACTCTATGATATGCTCATTATAAGTCCCCTTCCTATCTCTTGATTTTCAAGTTTTATTTAGTTGTAATTTCTTTTTAAAAATTCATTTAGATCTGATTCTCTGTAAATTTGTTCAGTTTGAGTTGTTGCACCCTCCCAACATCTCCCTTGTGTAGGGAAAATGTTAAGAGATGTTAAGCCCACCCACCATGCTAAATAAAGTGTATATAGTCGGTGTAGGGTTACACTGTGATCGATATCTTCAATCCCACCACATTACAAAAAACGTGAATGGATCTTCAAGGTACTTACACGAGAGCGTACAAAATTTCTAGCACACAAGTACTTTAGAGGTGTCCCCACCACACAATAAAAAACATGTACAGGGCCTACTCTCTCCATCGTGAGCATGGCATAAAAGCTTCCTCCAATTATGCTATGAAAATGGCTTACAAGTGGTCTACTCGT